GCTCTGCAACTTACCTGGCTGCTTCTTGCTCTGACTGAGGGCTGCTGGGAGCAGGGGGCGGGGCTTGTTGCAAATGCCCGCCCCCTGGGGTCTTTACTGCCGGAGCTCCGCTCCTGTGCGCTCCTGCAGGAAATGACCCCTGGCCTTGATTAGTATTTGGATGGGAGACCCCCAAGGATATCAGGGTTGCTACGCAGAGGCAGGCAACAGTAAACCCACCTCTGCTTGCCTCTTGCCTTGAAAAGGGTCACCATAAGTCGGCTGTGACTTGACGGCATTTTCCACCAGCTGCTCCTTTGTTCCCAGGAAGATAAATTCCTGAGCACGTGGGTGGGGGTGCATGCGTCTGGCCCCGAGCACACCTGCATGCCACTAGCTGTACATGGATGCTAAGGCCAAAATCACATGCACGTAGAAAGCCTTGGAGCCAAGCCTCTTGGCTTTTGCACTGCGGTCATTGGAACACCCGAACAAGAGCCAGCTGTGGTGTGGTGGTTAAGAGCAGCAGACTCTAATCTGGGAGAACCGGGTTTGATTCCCCACTCCTCCACATGCAGCTGCTGGCGTCACCTTGGGTCAGTCACAAGTTCTTTCAGAGCTTTTCTCTCAGTAGTAGTTCTCTCGGAGCTCTCTCAGCCTCACCTACCTCACAGGGTGTCTGTTGTGGGGAGGGGGAAGGAAGGAGATTGTAAGCCGCTCTGAGACTCCTTCAGGTAATGAAGGGTGAGATATAAATCCAACTATTCTTCCTTCTTCCTTCTTCTCCCTGTTAAACATGTTTCAGCTCTTTCTCACTAACATTTCCCCATTTGATTTCTTCACTTTTGTATGTCGGTCATGTCCTGAGGCGTTGTCTGCAGTTGACGCTTAAGCCAAGGTTGGCTTTAGTGTTTATGATGCTCAGGTAGGACGGGTTTCATGAGCTTATTCTGATAGCCTTATCCTGTTTCTCACCTCTGCTGTTCTCCAGAGGATGCAAATTGTATTTCTGGGCTTGGCGGTATCATGTTCTGCACCTGGCAAGCTGGCGACAGAGACCAAGAGTTGTGGGAAAGTGGGCAGGCGGGCCAAGGCAGGGCAGAATCCAGTAGCCAAGGCAGGAGCTGGAGATTAAGAATCTGTACAGGAGGTAGGCGGGGCCAAGCCACCATTCAGATCCAGCCCAAGCCGGTTTAATAAAGATGTTAAAACAGCAAAGATTGGAAGTCAGCTGCAGGACTGCAGGAGTATGGAGAGTTTCTTCCTTTCTGGTAGCCAGATCCCAGATCCTGCAGAGGTCTAGAGCAGTGGTCCCCAACGTGGCGCCCATGGGCACCGTGGCTCCGCCCCACAATACTTTTCTTGGTTCCTGCCAAGTGTTTTTAGAAAGTGGGTGGAGCCAGGTGGGGCTCTGGCCAAGCAGGGCTTCTGATTGGCCACTGGAGATCTGATTGGCTGGGCAGAATGAAATAATGCCATTTCGGCAGCAGCAGCCTCTACAGTGTTGGTTTTACTCTCTCACTCCTATTTCCCAGCATATTTTAAAAAAATTACTCCTCTCTCCCCCTCTACTTGGGCTTCCTCTGTTTGTGTGGTGGGCTCCACCTCCCCCGGTGGCC